CCCGCTCCCTCCTTCCCCCGCCCCGCTGTCTTGCAGGGAATTACCGGACGCAGTTGTGGGACAAGCAGTCCGAGTCCTTCCTGCCCTCCACGCCGGGGCTGGGCATGTTCGTGGAGGTCAAGGACCCCGACGGGAAGGTGAGGGCGAGGATCTGGACGGGACGAGGCACCCCTCGTGGGACCCGGAGCTCAGTCGGCGGCCTCCCCGGACCCCGCTCTATGAAAGCGCTGGGACTGCCGCCGAGGGAGGGAGCCGGCCGGCCGGCCGAGGCCACCGGAGGCCGGGGCTGGCCAGGGCCTTCGCCTGGCCAGCCCAGGGACGGGGGAGGGAGAAAGAGGCGATGGGTCTCCGCATCGCCCACCCGGCCTGCCTTTCCTTTCCGCGGGGAGGCTTGTAGGTGGTGGTGCGCGCGCTCCAGATCATGTCCGCGGAGGGCGCAGCTCAATCGCTCCTGGTGGTTGCTCCTGCAGGTGGTTCTCTCCCGGCAGTACGGCTCTGAGGGCCGCTTCACGTTCACCTCCCACAGGCCTGGCGAGCACCATGGGTCTCCGCATCGCCCACCCGGCCTGCCTTTCCTTTCCGCGGGGAGGCTTGTAGGTGGTGGTGCGCGCGCTCCAGATCATGTCCGCGGAGGGCGCAGCTCAATCGCTCCTGGTGGTTGCTCCTGCAGGTGGTTCTCTCCCGGCAGTACGGCTCTGAGGGCCGCTTCACGTTCACCTCCCACAGGCCTGGCGAGCACCAGATCTGCCTCCACTCCAACTCCACCCGCATGGCGCTCTTTGCTGGGGGCAAACTGGTAAGCCAAACCGGGCCCTTCACCTGGCGATTCAAAGGCTTGCACCTCTTTTGCCTTGTGGCTTCCTGGCTGAGGCAGCACAAAACCAGACACAGTCCTGAAAGACGGCCAGTGCAGAAGGACTGAGTTTTCATTATAGCCTCCTTAGTAGGTTTTCTGAAGCTACCAGACTCTAGAGTATCCTTTGCCTGCGAGATCTGAGGTATGGTGACCTGGAGCCGATCGCTGAATGTCCACTCTTCTGTCTTTAGCGAGTGCACCTAGATATCCAGGTTGGGGAACACGCCAATAATTACCCAGAGATCGCTGCCAAGGACAAGCTGACAGAGCTGCAGTTAAGAGCCAGGCAGCTTCTGGACCAGGTGGAGCAAATTCAGAAGGAGCAGAATTACCAAAGGGTGAGACAATTCTACAGAACTTCAGTATCTCCAGGTGATAATAATGGTGGTATCAGCACCAGGCATTCAAATGGTCCATCTGTGTCTTTCTGCTTAGAATTAACCTCATCTCACAGGTTGTGGGGGCTTTGGGTTATTTCTTGCAATCAGCATCATGCCTGAGGAGTATCACCTGAAAAGGCTTCAGTTTGTAGGGCAGAAGAGTCTTTGCCAAATGCTCCTCTGTGGGATGAGACATTTAAGCAGGGGGAGAGAGAGAGAGAGACTGGGATTGTGGTTTGAGTGGGTAAACAAGAAGGATGTGCAGAAGGTGTGCTTGGCAGATGTTGTTGCCAAAGGGATAAGAATGGGTACTTAGCTGTGTAGATGGGTGTGTTAGATGGGGACAAGGCAACAGTAGATTGACTCCCTTTTTACCTTGATTTTGCAGTACCGAGAGGAGAGATTCCGCATGACAAGTGAGAGCACCAACCAGCGGGTGTTATGGTGGTCCATTGCTCAGACTGTCATCCTCATTCTTACTGGCATTTGGCAGATGAGACACCTCAAGAGTTTCTTTGAAGCCAAAAAATTGGTTTAGTCTCTTGGATGACACAGACACTTACCATGACTCAAGGGTTTACTGTTTTGCGCATCCTAGACTCGCAGAAAACTGTGAAGGAGATCCAACATAGAACATCCATGGTTCAGCACCCAAAGCCTCCCTCTCCAAAGCCACTCGCCTCAAAAACGTTTCTGGTGCCGCCATTCTCCCCCCCCCACTGTGTTACAACAGAAAAAGCCAGGGCTGTTGGGGGTTGAGGAAGGGAAGTCTCACCCCCACCCCCGGTCATTCCAAGAAGGAAACATTGCTTTCAGGAGATATGGAAGTCTTTCTCTTGCTCTACTGTAGTGTTCTGATTTTACAAAGTTTTCTTTTTGTAGCTGACACCAGTGCATTTGTTGCCTTGCAAAAATTGTTCGTAACAACAGAAGGCAGTGGAAAGTCAAGGGGAAGCCTTAACTTATAACAGAACTCCACCCTTTCCCTTGAATAGCTGTACAGTTGCACAGATTGCATGGGATAACAACAGAAGTAAAAATCAAAGTTTTATTCTGAAAAAATCAGGACCTTGTTTTTGCCAGCACTTGGCACCCCTCCCCAGTTGCCTGTACAGAGTAGTGGACCTCTCCCTTTTTTGGCAGTCAACGTTTTCAGAATTCACATCCAGAGCCCCTTGATCTGCATTGAGAATTACAGGCGAAAGAGATGGCAGGTGTTCCCGCAAGAGCCTGGAGGGAGGCTTGCAGGTAACACCTGTGTCCCTTGGAGCTCAGGAAGAGAGGCCTGCCTGTGGCCAACTCCACGCCTGTTATTTTGGGTTCCAGCCAAGCTGGGACTTGGAATAATGAGAAATAGAAATGGGAAATGCGGCTTTCTTTGGAGCAGAAAGAATTTTTCCTTCCCTGCATGGTAGGGTAAATTTTTGACATTGTTTCTTGTTGCAGTTTTGGAGTGAAATAAAAGTTTTTCTGCAAAGGCATTTCTTATGTTTTAAGAGCAGGGTGACCTGTCCTAAGAAAGCAAGAAGAGTAGATTTCTGGCCCAGCAAAGGGTCAGTCTGGTCTTCAGTTCCCATTGAAGCTGAACACATACCCTCATGGGGGAGTGTACCAACAGCAAACGCTTTGTGGTTTTCCTTAGCGAAAGTGGTGGTTGGGTGGCTCAGGAGATGTGGTGCTGAGTTGGGGTGCAAAGGCTTTCCCTTCTTGATAGCAACTCCTGGCGGCCTCTGGAGCATTTCTCTGTTACTGAAGGATGGGAAGGAGTCCACAGCAGGATCAGGAAGGACCTGTGATTGGTGACCCTGTGCTGGTGCTTTGAGGAGAAGCCTCCTTGTCAGCTTTCCAGGGAAAGCCATGGAACTGGCACAGGTATGTTCCCTCGAGCATTTCTATTCTTCTCTGCCTTGGGAGAGAGGCCTTAGGGTTGCCATGAGGGAGGTGCGCTACTGTAGCCATGGGAACATCCCCAAAGTCTGGTCCACGGACTGAGGACCGCCACCACTGCCCTCAGCAGAAGAGAAAAAGATGGCTAAAAATGATGTTTTCCTGCTGAAGTGGCAGGAGGGAAGGCCTGCGTAATGGTAGGGGATCATGGTTGACACGCACATTTCCAAAGGGAAGAATCTTGGAATGTGGAATTCGGCAGCACTGACCCTGGAATGCAAGAAGCAGCAGGCAGAACCCAGATGAGCAAACTGCTTAAGGATAGATGGGATCCCGCTTCCAAGGGCTGCCTTGATAAAGACAACTTCTGTCTTCAGGGTCTACAATAATTTCTAGCATCTCCCAAACATTTGTGGCCCTGCGGAGCCCGGCCCTCCGGTCAGCGAAGCAGGACTGGTGACCCTTGGGCACAGGCATTCGCCTGCCCTGATCGTGGCCAAAGGATAACAGAGGTCATGCCCGATGCGCTCGTGAGTGACGTGCAACCTGCAGCGGCAGCCCAGCATCGGGGGACCCAAACAGGCTGGCTCTGGAGTGGGGGGCTTCCCAGCCAAGCCGCCCAGGGACCCCAATTCTTCCAACATCCTCTCTGGTGACTGGGATGCTCCGCTAAACCTCTGGCTGGCGGCTAGACCCATGTTTCAGTACACACGTGAAGGTGAAGAGATGTCACATCCCGATTCCACCCTTCTAATAGCTGAACAGAGCCCCAGCAGAGGAGATGGGGAAGGTTGCTCACCCCAGAATCCCCAGATGCTGCTTCCATCAAAATGGCCCGGCCTGATGGACTCAGGCTCTCGGGCGTGGTGCCCCGCTCTTTCCCACGAGGCGTCCTCCGGCCTCCAGGGGGCGACGTCGAGTCCAAGGGCGTTCTGGCCGCGAAGCTTGCTGTCCTTCCCTGCAGCGTCCACGTGAGACGGCTCGGCGCAGGCGTACAACTCGCTTCCAGTTCTGCGAGTGCGGTGGCGGCGCGGCGGCACCGAGGCATGGAGGAAGCGGAGCCGAGCTTTGCCCACCTGGGCCTGGACGACCGGCTGCTGCGGGTGAGGGCCGGGCCGGGACAGGCCGGGCGGGGAAAGCGGGGGCGGAGCGGTGTTGACGAGGCTGCTTTCTTCCGTCCAGGCGGTGGGCGAGCTGGGCTGGGAGCGGCCGACGCTGATCCAGGCGGAGGCGATCCCGCTGGCGCTGGAGGGCAAGGACCTGCTGGCGCGGGCCAAGACCGGCTCCGGGAAGACGGGCGCCTATGCCCTGCCGCTCCTGCAGCGCCTGCTCCGGAGGAAGGCGGTGAGTTGGGGCGGGGGCTGGCGGCGGCGGCAGGGGGGGGGCCTCCCCCGCTTCGCCTCCCTTCTCTCTGCCGCCCCTGATGCCTTCTCCTTGTCCTCTTCCCATCAGGGCGCGGAGGCGGTGGCCGAGCAAGCGGTGCGCGGCCTGGTCCTGGTGCCCACCCGCGAACTGGGCCAGCAGGCGCTGCAGATGCTCCGGCGCTTGGCCGCCTTCTGCGCCCGGGACGTGCGCCTCGTGGACATCTCGGGCCAGGCGGATCTGGCCGCCCAGAGGTGAGTGAACCGGGACCCCCTGGCGGAGCAGGCCGGACCTTCGGCCTCCAGGGCTTCCTTCCTTCCTTCGGAGGGGAAGGGAGGGGAGAGGAGAGAAAGGTGGCCGGCCCTTCAGTCACTGACCCGGAAAGGGCAGCAAGGGGTTGTCCACTGGGAAGGTGGCAGCCACTGCTGTGAGGGCCGCTCGGTCTGGGAATTCCAGGGCAGCCGACTGCAACGTGCCTGGCGCCTTTTAGTAGACAAAAATTCCAGGCTAACAGGTGACCCGGGACGTTGGGAATTGAGTTTTAGCTCCAAGGGTGGCCTGCAGCTTTGCTGTGGTTCTGTAGCCCCAGCCGTAGGTTTGCATGTCTTGGTCAGCAGGGCCTGTAGTGGAGACCCTCCTTGGTTATGTCTCTGTGTTGCTGCCTATTTTGCCTCCAGGCCCCTGCTGATGGAGAAACCGGATGTGGTGGTGGGGACACCCTCCCGGGTCCTGGCTCACCTGCAGGCGCGTAACCTGAGCCTGCAGGACTCCTTGGAGATCTTGGTGATGGACGAGGCTGACCTGCTCTTCTCCTTTGGCTTTGAGGAAGACCTGAAGAGCCTCCTGTGGTGAGTGTGGGCTGACCCTGAAGACTGGACGGTTGCCTGTGCCTTTGAGAATGAATAGGGAGGGCAGGCAACGTCTTTTACACCCCTAGGAGATGCAACAGCAGTGACTTTAAGGGTGCCTCACCAGAGACTGAAACCATCCATGCTCTTGTCGTTCCAAGCTGGTGTTACTGGTGCAGATTTTCCTCCACTGGCATGTGTTTTCACATACACACATGTGCACGGACACTTTGTTTAAGAATAGTGCAGTTTAAGAGCTTTGTTGGGGAGAGTGTTTCAGACATTCTTGCTGAATCTGTAGGATGGGGAGGCGGGTACTACGGAAGGGTAACGGAGTGCAGTTATAAATGAAATAAACAAATATATTTCCCCATGCTTTGCCTCTTGTGAGTTCAGTTCTTGTTATAGTGACTTGGGAACATCTTACTGGTTGTTGGCCAGGAGGGGCTTTTGTTCTGGCCTGTAAAGTGTTTCTTTTTTTGAGGTCTTTGGTTTTATTTCCAGCCATTTGCCCAAGATCTACCAGGCCTTCATCATGTCAGCTACCTTCAATGAGGATGTGCAGACACTCAAGGAGCTGGTGCTACACAACCCAGTAAGAGAGGGTTGGTTCCTGGGGCCATTTGGGCTTGGCCTGGGTAAGGCTGGGTCCAGGGATCCCTTTCCTGTCCTCCTTGCTGCTGGGGGGAGGCTCCCTGAAGAACTGCAGGGTGTGGCCCTGTGTTTGTTACTTCTGGAGCTCCTGGCCTGGAAAGGAAGGGATCCTGCTCTCTGAATGCCAAGGGGTCTCCTTCCACTGCTTTCTCTCCCAATGCAGGTGACCCTCAAGCTGCAAGAGTCGCAACTTCCAGACAGCTCCCAGCTGAGTCAGTTCCAGATTCAGTGTGAGACAGAGGAGGACAAGTTTTTGTTGCTGTATGTACTGCTGAAGCTGTCACTGGTGCGAGGCAAAGTTATCTTCTTTGTCAGCACCATTGAGCGGTGTTATCGCCTCAAGCTTTTCCTGGAGCAGTTCAGCATCCCTGCCTGTGTCCTGAACTCAGAGCTGCCGGTCAAATCCAGGTGAGCCCCTGCAGAGTAAGGCACTGTCACTGAGAGTTGGGTGGCAGACAGGAGCTGTAACCATATGTTCTGGAGCAACCTTTTGGCTGTTGTTGTTGTTGGAGATGAATGGGTGCTGCTGGGGCTGGGGGCCTCCTCTGTCCAGGGGAACAGTGCCGTCCTATCCAGCGCTCAGTGTCCTGGCGCAGGTGTGCAGAAAAGGCTGTGAGGCTTGGGGTCTGCTGGGCTGCCTTGGAAACCCCGGCCAAGCCTTGACAGGCCTTTCTCCCTCATCAGATGCCACATCATTGCTCAGTTCAACCGGGGCTTCTATGATTACCTGATTGCAACGGATGAGCAGCACTTGACAGAAGCCGGGCAGCCAAAGGAACGGCGGAAGCAAAAGGGCGCCAAGACAGAAAAGTACGTTTGACCAGAGCCTTCCAGTCATTGATGGTCTTGGTGTAGTTAACGTCCAGGTTAGAAGCAAAGCGAAGTGGGTGCCTAAGTGGCAGTTAGAGAGTAGGTAAAGTAAGAGACATTTGTGAGACAGTTTGGTGGCAGCGGAGCAGAACCTGCAAGGCTTAGACCCAAAGGAGAACGGAAGACCCAGGCTTTTAGTGCCACATCAGAACAAGCTCTCACAGCACAGCTTTCTGTCAGGCTGGACCACATCTGTAGTACTCAGGGCTACCATGCATGATGTGAAAGCCTGGGCACATTCGTCCTGGGGCCAGCTGCCATTCACTTCGTCTGTTTCCAAGTCGTTTGGGGTGGCTGGGTGTGCTTGAGGTCCCCAAGTGGAAGGGTCAGCTGTCTCAAAAGAGCACCTTCAGAGCTGATGGGTGGGCAGCCCCAGGCGCCTCTTCCTCCTGCCTTGCCCTCAGTTGTTCTTTCTCTTTGCTTTCCAGAGGCAAAGATCAGGAGTACGGGGTCTCCCGTGGCATCGATTTCCAGAATGTCTCTGCCGTCCTGAACTTTGACTTTCCTCCCTCCGTTGAATCGTATATCCACCGTGCGGGGAGGTCAGTAGCAAGTGGGAGCACGCGGCAAGGTGGAAGCAGCATCATTAGTACAGAATGGGTTCCCCTCTTAGAAAGTTGCTGCAGTTAACTAAGATTAATTATATATTTGTTAAAACTTTTCTTTCACAAATTTGGATTGCAGCCATGCAAAATTTCACCACATTAAGCAACATGCTTGCATTCTGCCCTGAAAAACAATAAAAAAGGAGTAACTTGCCTCCAAATGTCCAGGAAATAAATGTAAGCAAGGCTCAGTAAAAGTTCTGCATATCCAGATGAAAAGAACAGTGTAAAAGATCATGAATTATTGTTCCGATTTCTCCAGAAGTAGAAGGTCATTTGCATTGGCAGAATGGGATCTTTTTGAACTTTCTCTCCTGGACTGCTGATAGCAGAACTTTTAGCTGGGCAAGAGTGAAAACTCCAGCATGCGTTTGTTTTGAAAGTTAATAAAAACAATTGTCTGGTTAAAAAGGCAGCAATCCTGTATTGATTAGAATATTTTGAGCTTTCGCCTAGATCGCGTGGGCCGCCCCACCTCTGTGATACATTGCCTGAGGGCTAGTCTGGCTGCATCGTATCTCATGCGGAGAAGGCTTCCCGCAGAGAAGCCGTGCCCTCTGAGTAGAGCAAATAGGGCTTTTTTCCAAATGGACTGATAATTGTAGTCTTAGAGGGGTCAAGCCTGTGGGGTAAAAAGGCAGCCAAAACCTAAAGGTAGCAAACCGGGCCCTCGTTTCAGTAGAGCGACAGTTTGAGAGGTGAATGAGGAGCTGTGCTGTGGCTCTCAAGTGCTTTTGACCAAGACTAAGCTGACAGAGCTTTACATGGGAAGAATAAAGCAGAAGCCCCACCTTTTGTTACCTGTCTCTACCTGGCTGCAGCTGGGGGGGGTTGTGTAAGCCAGGTGGGGGTGCTTTAGCCAAGGGGCTCCGGTTACCTGCTGACCCTGCCTGTGGCCGCTTTGTAGCAGGAATTCACCCGGCAACCCTCTGTCTTTGCTTCGGCCTGACACTTTTTCTCCTATGCAGGACTGCCCGTGCCAACAACCCGGGTACCGCTCTGACCTTTGTCATGCCTTCGGAGTGGGCCCTGCTGGCCAGAATTGAGGAGGCCCTCGGAGGAGGTGAGGGGCAGAGGCTCCGCTCTCAGGAGCAGCGGGAGGAAGCCAGGCACAGCCCAGCCCTCTCCTTTGGCCCATGTAGAGGCAGCTGGGGGGGGGCACCCGGGGGGGGGAGGGGAGAGCAAAGTGGCTTTTCTCCCAGAGTCCCAACCGCTATTCCTGCCTTTGGTTCTCCAGGGAGCAACGAAGCCCCTTTGCAGCCCTACCAGTTCCGGATGGAGGAGGTGGAGGGCCTTCGCTACCGTTGCAAGGTCAGTGGGGTTAGGTGTGTGCAGGGGGGGCAGTGTGTGTGTGTGTTTGGGGGTGGGGTTCCCTGCATGGCAGTTGCTGTGAGAAACCTTGGAATAGGGAAGGAAAAGGGTGGGGGTTTTTGTTTTGCAGGAGGGTTAGGGGCACATTGTGGGAAGCTGCACCAACTAACTCGACACATGTAAAAGAACAAAACCACATGTTTCTCCACTATGTTCTGTCAATGTTTCCTGGTGGCCTCCCCAGAGGTTTCTCCCCCCCCCCCCAAGGGCTACAGGCGCATTCTCTCTCTGTCTCTTCTGTGCTGGGGGACGAGAGGGCTTTTCTTCCTGGCAGTGGGGCCAGTGGGGAGGTTGTAGCCCCACGACAGTCACCTGAACAGGGGAGGTTGTGCAAGCGGTCTTACTGCCTCTCCTTCCCTTCCTCGCCCCCCCTTAGCCCCCCCCGGCATTGTAGTGGGGGCCTTGTGCTGTTGGTGGGCTGTGTGGCCCGCGTGGCGCCTGGCGCCTGAGCCTTGTGCCTTGCCTCTCAGGACGCCATGCGCTCCGTCACCAAGCAGGCCATCAAAGAGGCCCGGCTCCGCGAGATCAAGGAGGAGCTGCTCAACTCGGAGAAACTGAAGGTATCCACAGTGGAGGGCGAGGTGACCTTTTTCTGGGGCGGGGGGGGACACATGTCCCTCTCCTCTTCCCCTTTGTCTCTCAGGAGCAGCCTTTCTGGCAGCCGTGGGTCTCCAGCCCCCCTGGGGTGAGGGGAGGGGGCTGGGCAACCGAGGGGCCTCCTTGCGTCATTGGCTGTGTTTGGCTCGTCCTCTGACAGACCTACTTTGAGGACAACCCTCGGGATTGGGACCTGCTGCGCCACGACAAGCCCCTCCACCCGGCCATCATCAAGCCCCATCTGCGCAACGTTCCGGAGTACCTAGGTGAGTGGAAGGGGGGGTGGGGGGCCAGGAGAGGCTTGCACCGAGTCCAGCGGCGTCGGGCACCCCTTCCTCTCCGGCTTGTTCCCTCGCCGCTCTCATTGCGCCTTCACCCCCAGGGCGTTGCCCAGGCCCTTCTGACAGAGCGCGGCTCTTCCCCATCTTCAGCTGACTCCTGCGCTGGGTGCCTCCAGAGCTGACCCAGGAAATGAGGGCTGCTGGCCTTGGGGGGCCTGTTGGAAGGGGAGGCTCTTCTGCCTTGGAGTGGGGGCAGGGGGGCAGTCTCTGGAAACTGACCCCAGCGGCCTCTTTTCCCTTTGCAGTGCCCCCCACCCTCCAGGCAGTTGCTCACTCCCACCTGAGGAAGCGCAAGAGGCCGAAGCAGCGGCCCTCCGCCCCCAAGGTTGGTGTTTTTTCTTCCCTCTTCTGTGAATCGGGGCCGCTAGCTTTAGTTCCCCTTTTCTGCGCCCATCCTTCTGGCTGTGGCCCCTCTTAACCCTACCTTTGCTGTACAGAAGTACCTTGACCCCGTCTGTCTCGCTTGCTGGCATTGGCCTTCTCAGGGGCAAACGGGGGTTTTCTGTGGCCACCCGTTGCTGTGGAAAGGGGTTCGCTGGTATCCTCCTCCTGGACTTCTCCAGGTGGCGCAGGAGGGTTGTCTGGTCCATGGAGAGAGGCCACCGCGTAGCCCCGGCTTCTCTGTGCCCTGCCTTGTCACAGCTGAGGTGGCATCGAAATCCTTCGTGCTACAAGCTGCAGTGGGGCTTGGGTGGCCTGTCTGTTCGAACCGGGACCCTGGAGATGTCAGCGGGGGTTTCTGGCTGGTCTTGGGCCAGCCCCACACAATTAGCTGGGTCTGTTTCATGGGACTGTTAATAAGGGAAGGCAGAGCTTTTCTCTCTCTGTGCCCCTGTTGGTCCTTCCCTCACTTTGGAGGGAGGGGGATCTGTACCAGAGAAGAGAGAAGGCTTCTTCTGCCCAGGGTAGGGGACCTTTGCCCTCCCATTTTAACTCAGGATGCTTCCGAGGTCATGACTCTGCCCAGCAGGCAGGGAAGGCTAGCAGGCAGCTTGGGGTGTGGTGGGCCAGATGCCAAGGCTGAGGGGGCCGGAGGCCTCCATGGAGGCATCGGGTGCCCCGAGGAGCGGGAGATAGGGGAGCAGGCGGGCGAGGGCTCCTCGTGTCCCCAACTAGCTTCTCGTTCTCCCTTCGCGCAGGGTCGGCAGAATCCACTGCAGAGTTTCAAGTGCACGAAGGAGAGGTTTTCCAAGCAGAGACGACAGACAACAGGCAAGCTCGTTGGAAGACCTGGCCCCTGAAGGCTCCTTCCTCAGCTCGGACTCGGCAGGAGGAAGCTGGGGAAGGGGGGGAGGCGGACGTCTTCCCTCCCTGCCCTGAGTCGGACTGTGATTTTTGTTCAAATAAGACTGTGTGTGGAAACCTGTTTGTGCCTGAGAAGGTTGAGTGTGTCAGGTCCTGAGGCTTGTCTTGTGACCTGCTCGGTCCCAAAGGAGAGCCAGGGATCACTCAGGGTGAACTCCTTCCGGGTCACCAGTGGCCTTCCTTCCTGCCTGGGCTTGGGAGTGGAGGGGCACCACCTCCTTGCAGCCAGTCCCATGTTCCTGGGACTGAGCTCTTCTGAGCTGAGCACCAGACGCTTAGCCCCTGCACGCTGGGAATTTGATGGGAAGCTATGACCCCTTCGGCCATTGCTATACAGTGGGGAGGGGGGCGCTTCCCCCTACCTGCCCATCAGGGGCCTGGGCAGCCAGGTCCTCGTCCTGAGGCTGCTCAGCACTCAGATGGGCTGCCTTTGTCCTGTCAGTCAGGCGGTGGGTTTTGGCCAAGGGTGGCTCCTTGAATTGGCCTGCGGGACCTTCCCAGCCTTCTCTTGAGCAGCCAAAGCAAAAGGGGGAACGTGCAGCTGGGGGGTTCTCTGCAGCCCTCAGGCAGCCACCTAGCTTCTTCCAAGCATGCCCCACTGTGTTTGCTCTGCCCTGGCCCCCTCATGCTGTGGGTCCTGCTCTTTGCTCTCTGGCCTTGGGGGTGGCAGGAAAAGCCAGAGGGGGTCCCAGGCCCTCAGTGGCTGTGATCTTGGGAGCGTAGCGGCCCTAGGCCTTCTCCAAAGCTGGGCTCAGGCGCCGGTGCCTGCCGGGCCCTGCGGCGGCAGGTGGAATCTTTACCTGGCATGTGACCTTATTTATCAGGGTGGTAAACCTTGAGGAGGAGAAAACAGGATAAGAGGGCCTAGGTGGGGGCAGAGGGCTAATTGTGCGCCAAGTGTCAGCCAGGGAGGAAGGTGCCTGTGAAATGCGCTTTGATGCTTCCAGGAATCACAGAGCAGCCATTCATGGGGTGCGGTGTTTGCAGGAGAGGGCTGGTGGGATGGTGCCCTTCAAAGTCAAACGTGGTTGCCGTTTACGACAGGAGGCTGGCAGAAACGTTAGGGGATGTTCACACTCTTCAGTGCCGTGCCTGTTCATCTCTCGTGGACGGAGAACTGCAGCCATACCAACTCCTTAGTCATCTAAACAACTGTTTTCTCTTTAGAGAATGCGGAATAAAATGCCTCCAGAAGCAAAAAAAATCGTAGTTTCTTGAGATGCTTGAAATTGGGCCCCAGAGACTTTGGGTGACCAGGCCTCATAGCCAGAATATCTTCCGGCTTCCTCAGTTCCTGATCTGTCTCAAGTGAGGGGGGCCACCAGGCCCAACAACCTCTTCGGCCCTTGTTGGGTGGATCAGGCCCTGCCGCTGAGAGAGTTGTGGGCTGGGCTCTGGCCTGTTCCTTGGGAAGCAGCCACCACAGCTCTTTGGCTGAGACCACCCACGCGCTCACGCCAGGTTTCTCCTCCTGTGCAGAATGTTTCTCGGACAAGGGGCCGGGGCAGTTTGGGAAGCCAGTGGGGAGGGCTGTGTGGTCTTGTCTGGCTTTTTCTGTTAGGGCAGAATGGGCGTAACTGCTACATCACTGTCATAATGCAAGCAAAAAAGATAAGGCATGGTTTTGTGAAACTCACCCAGGTTTTATCTATTTTGCTGCCTCCTATAGATATATATATATATAAAGATGCCCTTCCTCGTTGGCCTTGACTGCTCCTTATCCTTCCCTTATCGCTCTGTGCTTTTGCATATTTCCTGCCTGACCCTGACCTTTGCCCCTGCCTCCCTGGGCTGCCCCCACCCTTTTTCTTCCAGCCTTGGCACCTGAAATGACCTCCTAAGATGTTCCCCCTTGCCCAGGTCCCATCTCAGCAGCCACCTTTTCCCTCCTTTCATTGGAACCAGCTCTCTTATCTCTCTGCAACTTAAATAAACATAGCTCAGGGCTTCCCTTCCTTGACCTGGTGCCTTTGACGTTGTAGGCTGGTTTAAGCAGCCTCTTTAGTGCTTCTACCCTGGAGGTTGCCTAAGACTGGGGAAAGGGTCCTGCCAGCACAGTAGCCGTCCACGCCTCTCCCTCCCTAGAGCCTGCCTGGCTTGGTGAGCCTCACCCGGGCTGCCCAGCCGTGACGGGGCAGGGTGTTGGTGTGTGTATGTGTGTGAGAGGGAACATCCTTCCCCCTGAGCCTCTGTCCAGATGGGGGTGGGGTAGGGATGGAGGGTTGAACTAGCGTAGGTTAGTCCTGTGTGCACACTTTGCGTTTGTTCTATGCGCTGCACGCTCGTAGGGTCCTTCCTCTTCCTCGGTTCTGTTTGGCCAGGGAAGCATGGTCTCCCCCAGTACATGTTTGTCACGCAGATGGGGAGGGCGGAAGGCACCAGGTTTTGAGCGGGTCATGGTCCACCTCTCCAGTCCCAGCGGCTCAGGTGTAAAGTACAAGCAAGTGCGTGTATGTGGCGGAGAGGAGGAATGGTGGCACGAAGAACGTCCTCATGGTGGAAGCATAGCAGAAGCAGCTGCCTGAAAGGGCTGCTCTTCGAGCTCAGGCTTATGGGTTCACCTCCCGGGGATGCTGTGGCCAAGTGGCTGCTGCACCACCGACTTGGATTAAGTGATCTTTGAAGCACCTTCCTGCTGTTTGGTTGCTGCGTGGATGGAGCTGGGTTTTGATGAGCACCAGTCATTTATGGCTTTGCTCCTTAGCCAGAAAACTTCCCAGAATGGCTTGTAAAGATTGGCAAGGCAACCTTTGCTATCAGGCTTCTAATCGGAAAGATAAACTCTACGAAAGACTGGATTTGGCTGCAAGCAGGAAACAGAGTCAGGCCTTGTGAGGGATGTCTTTGAGGCCTGGTCTCCTTCCCAGCCGAAGCGTTCCGTCTTTCCTTGCTGCACTTTGGTTTGTTCAAGCCTCCAGGGTACCAGCCTGAAGGATGGCTTTTAGAGGTCCAACCTCTGATTTCATCACAAACCCCATGGAACAGCCTGGCCTCGCTGACTCATTCACTTACTCACTTGTGAAGTAGCAGGGGCTACATACATATAGGAGGCTGAATCTGGGCACCCTGGTGTAGGACGAACAGGCCCAAGAAATGACACACCCAGAGGAGGACATCCAAGGTGGCAGAAGGCCTGAGTGGAAGGGCGGAAGGGGTTTGATTAGCAGGGAGAGGAGAAAGTGAAGAGGTGACAGGATGGAAAGGGGGAAAGTTGGCAGAATATTGTGGCCCTTGAAAGATGGAACAGAATTATTTCAGTTTCAGCTTTTGTGGCTTTTGGTTCCCAAAAGGTCACAGGGAGATACATTTGTTAGCCTTTGAAATGCTACAATATTCTCTCTTTATCCTATTTAATGCTGCCAGCTGACAGTAAGGACTGTTTGAGACTGGAATGGGTTAGGGCTATGATCTTGCTCATGGAGTTTTTCAGGTAGAGGCTGGGTGAGCACCTTTCTGTCCATTTCCTGCTCCAGGATGTGTATGACAAAGTGGTCATCCTTGGGCTCCAGTGTGATTCCACTGGAATGGGAGGTGGGAAGCAACTGGACATCTGAATCCAGAGAGTAGAGCCTGATGTGGCGAGAAAAATGCAGGCCATCAGAATCTCCAGGAGGAAGAGGAAAAGGTGGCAACAGGCAGGAAGGCACTGTAGTCCCCAGGCGAGTTTGTTATCGCCCAAATGCAGGGAGAGAGGAGAGGTTGCCTGTTGGAGCAAAACCGTGGAAAGTGTTCCAGCACCTAAAAGACTACCAAGACTCTTATTTGGCACAAGCATTTATGGGCTGCAACTCAAAAATGCATCAGAAGAAGTGAGCTATGGTCATACACCAGCGTGTATGCAAAATAACTCCCCAAAACACCTTGTTAAGCGTCAAGATGTTGCAAGTCTCTTTGCTGTTTTTCCACGCTTCCATGCGGCACCAGAGATGGACCGGAGGCTGCTGAGTCGTCCATGTTGCCATCAGAAGTCAAGGAATGGGTTGTTTTGGAGAGGAAACCACTGGCGCCCCTCTCTGCAGAAAGGCCTCGCTGTCCTCCCAGGTGTGACAGGTGGGGGGCTGGCCCAACGGTCTGAGGGAGGAGGTTGCCCCAGAGCCCCTATGGAGGAATTCCCTTGGGAACATCAAGGAGAACCCCAGGCCCCAGTTAATGATTCACAGCTGCAGGGCTCCCTGATTGGTGTCCTGGCTGTCACACCAGGGTGGCCTAATACCTGGTGGCAAGGTGGAAGGAAGGCGTGCTCCTCGGCCAGCACAGGTGCTCCTTGGCCCTGGAGGAAGCCTCTGCTGCCGCTGCTGCCAGAATGCTGAGTCCTCTCCTGTTGGCTCTCGTGGTGGCCAGGGCAAGGCCAGCGCTGGTGAGTCCGAGGAAGGGGGACCGGGCGGAAGAGTCAAAGGGGACAGGCAGCTGCCAGGGAGCAGGAGGCAGGGTGGCCACCTTGCAACCCCGTTTCCCCGCACGGCTGTTTGCAGGCGGGTGAATGTGGGCTAGGCATGGCTCTTGGTAGGACTAAGCGATCGTAGGATTTGGCAGTGGAAGGCGCCTTTCCCAGCCCTGCTGAGAGGCGGAGAATGCCTCCCTTGGCTGTGCCACACAAGGGGTTGGCTGGGGAGCTTAAACATGAACCTACAGCAGGCGATGCCCTCCTGTTTTGGCCCAGGGGGAGATCAAGGGAGATCACCTCTGCACCCCCTCCCATCAATACGTCACCCTCACTGGCCCGACCCAGGGGTTCCCCTGACCTTTGCCCCTCTTTGATCCTCCTGGGCTCCTTGTTGCCCCACTGGCACTTTTGCTCTTGTGTTGCCAAGGTGGGCATTCAAACAGCTCAGTCTGCCATTTTGCCCCCCAAAAATGCCATGGGGGGCAGGCATGCTGGATGGGATAATGGTTACGGGTTGCAGGCAGCTGGCTCATCACAGTCGCCCACCTGACACGAAGGCTACCCTCACCCCCTGCCTGCTGTGCCAGGGCTTTGTGGTGCCAACCGTGAGAGAAGGTAATGCACTTTTATGGCTGGGGGATCAAAGCAGCCCTTCCTGATGTTCTTCTCCTGCCTCATTCTTTATGTTGTAAGCCACCTAGAGTGGTCGAAATGACTAGATAGGCGGGGTATAAATACAATAAATAAATAAATAAATAACGCCAACCAGCCAAATGCACAGCGAGGCAGTGGCATTGTGCATGTGTGACAACTAGGAGGCCATGGTGTGGAAATCAATGGGAAGCCCAAATTCACCCAACACCTTACATGAGTGCTGATTCCTGTCAGGCTTTTCTCATTAAATCACCCCCACCTCCACCTGCCCCAGCCTCAGCCTCTCCGGCCCCTTAAAACATCCCTGGAGGCAGTGGGGAAACCGAGGGCTGGAAGTGGCTGATTGTCTCCTCCCTCTCCAACCCCCAACCGCCCCCCCGGATCTGACGGAATCAAGGCGGCCGCTCCAACTGAAATCCACCAGGCTGGCTACTGCTCCTTCTATGGGGAATGCGGCAGGAACCCTGAAATCACCAGCAGCCTCCTCCTGTCCAATGTGCCCTGCGTTTCCAACACTCCAGCCCAGTTGGTTTCGGGCTCCCATCTCAGCCTCCTTGCCTCTGTCTGCCCGATGCTGTTCACGGGGGCCGGGAGCACCTACGCCTGCTGTTCGGAGGACCAGTTGCACGCTTTGCAGGCCAGCCTTGCCCTCTCGCAGGCCATCCTCACCCGCTGCCCAGCCTGCTCGGAGAACTTTGCTGGCATCCACTGCCAGAACATCTGCAGTCCAGACCAGAGCCTCTTCACCAATGTGACCCGTTACTTCAACCGCACAGGCTCGCAGGGCACCCAGGAAGTGGGCGTCTTGGAGTACCAGTGCTACTACCGCCAGCGCTTTGCGGACGAGCTGTTTGATTCCTGCAAGGGAGTCCGGCTGCCAGCCACAGGTGGCTATGCCATCTCGGCCATGTGTGGCATGTACGGGGCCGCCCTGTGCAACAGCCAGCACTGGCTGGACTACCAGGGGGACCCCAGCAATGGCCTGGCTCCCTTGGCCATCGCCTTCCAGCTGATACCGCCGGGCGGCCCTGAGACCATCGAGGGCGGCATCGTGCCCTTCAGTGCGACCGCCTGGAAGTGCAGCGAGGCCGTGAACAGCAGCCTGGGAGAGAGGTGCTCCTGCCCGGATTGCTCCCAGTCTTGCCCTGCTCTCCTGGCCCCTCAGCCCACCCAGCCACCCTTTAAGTTAGGGGACGTCGACGGGGCCCTTGTCCTCTGCTCCCTCCTCTTCTGCCTCCTGGCGGTGCTCTTTGGGGTCTTCTTGCTGTGCCAAAGCTGCCGTGCGCGAAAGAAGCCGAAGGAGGGCAAAGGAAAGCGGGCCACGGCTGCCAGGCCAACTTGCTCTGAGAAGGCGAGCCAGGCCACCCATGACTTCCTGGCCAAGGCCTTCAGCTCCTGGGGCAGGTGGGTGGCCTCCCACCCCATCACGGTCATTGTCGTCTCTGTCGTGGTGGTGGTCTTCCTCTCGAACGGGCTGCTCAAAATCCAGCTCACCACCGACCCGGTGGAGCTCTGGTCTGCCCCGGACAGCCAGGCCCGTCAGGAGAAGGACTTCTACGACCAGCAGTTTGGGGCTTTCTTCAGGACCAACCAGATCATCCTGACGGCCAAGAACCTCCCCAACTACACCTACGACTCCCTCATCCTGGGCAAGAAGAACTTCAGCGGGATCTTGTCCATGGAGGTCCTGCTGGACGTGCTGGGGCTGCAGACGAGGCTGCAGGGCATTGAGGTCTGGTCTGAGAAGCACGGCAGGAACATCTCCCTGAAGGACGTCTGCTACGCCCCCCTGAACCCCCAGAACGCCACCCTCCCTGACTGTGCGGTGAACAGCCTTCTCCAGTACTTCCAGAACAACCAGAGCCGCCTCGAGATGACAGCCAATCAGACCGTGAGCGGGCAGACGGGCACCGTGGGCTGGCGGGACCATTTCCTCTACTGTATCAAGTGAGTGCCAGTTGGGGGTGTGCGTGTGGGTGGGCATGGGGTGTGTGTGTGTCTAGAGGAAACAAGGAGGGCTGGTTCCCTTTCGGGTGGGAGAACTGGTCCTGGCTGGGGGGTGCACGGAGGGGAGTAACTGTGTTCCCTTCACATTCCACCTTGGCGGTCAAAGCGGGCCCGTTCCTGGTCCTTCTCCTCACCCCTTGCTCTGTGCCTGATGGGTGCTACTTACTGCTGCCTCACCTCACGGTTCCACAAGGAGGGCAGGCATCTGGCAGAGGCCCTGGGCGGCTGAGGGGAACCAGGGCTGTTTTGTGTGGGTGAGGCTGAGCCAGCACCATGAAGGGCCAGGCCGGGGGCGGCGGGGGGGGGGGAAAGAAGCATTTGTGGTGCTCCTCATTTCCTCTACTGTATCAAGTGAGTGCCAGTTGGGGGTGTGCGTGTGGGTGGGCATGGGGTGTGTGTGTATCTAGAGGAAACAAGGAGGGCTGGGGCGGGAGAGGTTTCTTTGATTCCTGGCCTCACGGGCCTGTCCTTTCTTTTCCTTTCCTTTGCTCTTTTAGTTCCCCTCTGTCTTTCCAAGACATCACAGCCCTGGAGATGAGTTGCATGGCAGATTATGGTGCCCCCGTCTTCCCCTTCCTGGCCGTGGGGGGCTATTCAGGTAGGAAGCTCATGTGCCGTGAACTGCTGAGGAGAGAAAGGGAGGAAACCAAGTTAGCACTTGTGGGCCCCTTCAGGTTCTTTGCAGGGTGGCCCCACCCTTTAGCAAGGCAAAGGAAGAGGCAGAATGTGTTGTGAGTGTTCATAGTGTGTATATGTGTGTGTATGTGTGTGTGTGTGTGAAAGAGGGAGAGAGGAAAAAAAAAGAAATTAAGGTTTCTTTCTCTGAATCAGAATAGACACTGGGTGGCTAGTCTCCTAACAAATTCACAATAAAGTGGGAGAAGCAAGTAACTCAACCGTTGGTAAGAAGGTAACGTTTCAGATAGAAAAACCAAAAACCCTTGTCCCACCTAGACAAATATGTGCCCAAAGGAGAGGAGAAACAGCACGTCTGCCGCTGCTTAGAGAAAGAGGAAAGGGAAACAGAGGCCGGAGAGGAGGAGAAGGAGACCGGCAGGTGGGCGGACCTTTCGGCTGTCAGTCTGGCTGCAGGTGCAGGAAGAAAAGGCCAGGGAGTCAGAGGGATAGACAAGCCTCTCTTTGGCATCTCCAGTTGCCCTTCAAGTTATTTGGATTGGACAGGGGCTAAAAGGTGACGTTTGGAGGGCATCAGACCAACAGAAAAGAGCAGGAGATGGAGACCAGAATCAAGCACCGTGGCTGACGCCTAAAGGGCCCGAAGGAACCCCTTTTGGTTCTTTGTCAGGAAAAGTTCTTGGGCTGGTTCAACATTTCTCCTTCTTCCAGGTTCTTGGCTGGGCTTGGCTTGAGGTGGGATGATGATGCAGCTCCGTCCACGCTTGCAGAAAAGAGATGCTCAAATGCACACACCCTCTCCTGGCTGCTGTGTCACCGGCCAGACTCCCCGAGTCTTTTCTTCCGATGCCAAGCCATGCCTTGGCCAGGGGAGGGCGTCTGTGAGCCCAGGTGAGGTGTGAGCAGGAGGAAGCCAAGCTGGTGCTGAGGCAAGCGGAGAGATGTAGGGTCCCCTGGCATGGCAGCAAAGTGTGCCTCCGAGGCGACCAGGTGGACGAAGAGGGCTTCCAGAGCCCCACAACCTCCTACACTCGACGTGAACTGACACACCAGGGAACGTCTGATGAAAAGCATGGAAAATACGATTGTCAGTAGCAGGAGTTTGAGAGTTATCACAGCACATTTGTTTAGGGTCTGAAAAGCACGGAAAACTGGGGAGTTTATTTAGAAGCCTTTAAATAAGAGTGAGGCCTCTGCAGACCAGATGTCGGGACAATCCTGGCCATCATGCCAGGGCTGACCATTGGTGAGTAGGCGTTCCTTGTGTGCTCTCCGATCAGCTCTGGCTGATGGGGACGCTGCTGGCTTTTCTCGGGATCCAGTCTGCCGCCCCCAGTGTTGAGGCTGGGCAGAGAGCTATCCAGCCCCAAGGAGACGGGGGGGGGGCGGCAAGGCCAGGGGCCGCGCATGCTATGCCCAACTTCGATGGTCTCGCAGGCCCCAAAGGACGGCAGCGGCCGAGGGCCTCTTTGCCAGGCCCTCTTTCCCGGCCAGCTGCCTTTGCTGATTTCTGCCCTGGAGACGCTGCCCCACAGTCTGGACGGAGGTGCCCCCTGGAATGGCTTCTTAGCCCAGTGGGGGTGGGGAAATGGGCTGCTCTGTGTCTCTACTGTGCGCGTGTGCGTGCACATGCAAAAGGCCCTTGATGCCCTTCTCTCTTCCTAACAGGGGAGGAGTATTCGGAAGCGCAGGCCCTCCTCCTGACCTTCTCCCTGAACAACTTCCCCCCCAGTGACCCCCAGTCTGACTTTGTCCTGCTGTGGGAGGAACAGTTCCTGAAGATTGTGCAGGAATTCCAGCAGGAATATGCAGACCGCTACACGGTCGCCTACATGGCTGAGGTACGTGAGGCACCCCGGGTTGCCGCGGCCACCCCCATGAAAAATGACTGAGCGCCAACCTCAGGATGTCCGAGAAGGACAGCCGTCTCCCCACCCCCAGGAGAGCAGAGGTGGGAAACGTCCTCGGCCTTTCCTCTCGAAACACCCCCACGTGCCTGGGTGGCAGGCCAAGCAAGGGAAGGTCCGGCTGGCCAGTTTGGCCCCAGCCGTGGCGGCCCTCCTTGTTGCTTGACCGGTGAGACTCCTGCCTTGCTTCCCAACCTCCCTCTCTCCCCTGGCCCCCTCCTATGGCTGCAGCGCTCCCTGGAGGACGAGATCAACCGCACCACCTGGGAAGACCTCCCCATCTTTGCCATCAGCTTCCTAGTCATCTTTTTGTACATCACCTTCGCCTTGGGAGAGTACTCCAGCTGCCGGCTCGTTCTGGTATGTAGGAAGGAGCCGGCCTGGCTGCTTTTGAGCTTCTTGCTCGTTCTTTTAAAATGAAGAAAAAAACCCCAAAGACCAAAACCCCAACACTCCCCCCCCCCAAACTCCACATCTCACAGGACCATGGCCAAGCGAGTGCTTGGGGGAGGGGGGTTGCCCGGGTGGACCTCTCCTCCCTCAGCCGGGGGGGGGGAGAGGGAGGCCGGGAGCTGCTGCTCTCTTCCTGGAGGCCGGGAGGGCAGAGGGTGGGAAGAAGGCCTGGCATCTGATCAAGGCTCTGGAGAACGGCCGCCTCTCCCGGAGGACCTCAAGGGCCACTCATGCGCCCCGGGGCCTTTTTTCGGCAGGAGTTTCCCCTCTTGTCTCTTGAGGGGCACAGTGGGGAGGGGGGGTCTTACCTCTGTCCTCCCCCTGTCTTGACTAAGAAAAAAAGTTTAAGAGCTGAAGGGGGAGGGGGGTCTTTCTCCAAATCACCGGGGGGGGGGCTTAAACTGGTCCTGCTGGGCATCCATGCCCCTGGGGAGGGCAAGTGGCAGGGGGAGCTGCCCGGCAGGGACCCTGGCCTGCCCGCTCCCCACCCTCGCTTGTGGGAGCCCAGAGGCCTTTGCCCCAGGGAGGGGCAGCCCTCCCCTCCCCTCCCGCCTCCCTCTCCTGCTGCTTTGCCTTCCCAGGTGAACTCCAAGGTGACCCTGGGCGTGGGAGGCATCCTGGTGGTGCTGGGGGCTCTGCTGGCCTCCATGGGCTTCTGCTCCTTCGTGGGGCTGCCCTCCTCCCTCATCATCCTGGAGGTGGTGCCGTTTCTGGTGCTGGCCGTGGGTGCGGACAACATCTTCATCTTCGTGCTGGAGTACCAGGTGTGAGATGTGTGTGCGCATGCGCAGAGGGAGACCAGGGTGTGTCTGTGCAACCTGAGGCAGTTTGGGGGGGGGAATCTGGAGCAGGGGGGCACCCTTTTTGCCCAGCCACCATTCTGGGTGGTCTTTGGCCTTGGCTTGGCCCTGGGAGACGCTTGGCCCTCCTGACGAGGTGAGCTTGCAGAGGGGAGATCCACCTGCGGCCTCGCCTGGCGTGTTGCTTGGGGTGTTGTGCTCCCCCCGCCCCACCTCTTTTCTTCTCCTTTGCTCTGCAGCGGTCTGAGCCCCTCGCTGGGGAGACCCCAGAGCAGCACATCGGCCGGGTCTTGGGGGACGTGGCCCCCAGCATGCTCCTCTGCAGCCTTTCGGAAATCATCTGCTTCTCCCTGGGTGAGTGTGGAGGGGGGGCTCCTGGGTGACGATTCTGCCCAGGCCTTCTGGAGAGGAAGGCTCGATTCGCTCTGACCGCCTCCCTCCCGGGACACCCCTGTCTTTGAATGCTCCCCCTTTTGGGCAACCCCTTGAGTGGGTGTCCTGGGGCCGCCTCGGCAAGTGGTCCTTGGGGGGGGGGGACGGACGGAGAAGGTTTCCTCACCTTGCTGGGAGGAGGAGGAGGACGATGAGGGGAAGGCCAGGCCCCAAAGTGAGGACGGCCATGTGGAAAATCTGCTCACGGATCTTCACGGGCGTGTGCACCCTAGGCGGTGGCTCAGGGGGCCTGAGTCCGTCTGCCCACTCGCCCTGGCCAGGCCCCTTGCCTGTGGCTAGCTGGAGGAAAGGCCAACAAGGCGCCTAACGTCAAAGGCACCCTCAACGAAAAGCAAGCTCACGAGGGCCCTTTCCCTGAGCCAGGAGAGAGAACCAGAGCGCATGTGCGCGCAGGACCCCAATGCCGCCTCTGTTCTCCTCCTCCCCCCCGCTTCTTCCAGGCGCCTTGTCCCCCATGCCTGCCATCCGGACCTTTGCCCTGAACACGGCGGTGGCCGTGCTGTTTGACTTCCTGCTCCAGATGTCTGCCTTTGTCGCCCTGGTGGCCCTGGACTCCCGCCGGCAGAAGGTCAGGTGGGCTCTCGAGGGGTGCCCTGGGGTGGAATTGGACGGGACGGGACAGGTGGGCGGCTGGTTCCCAGGCTACTCCTGGCTTGTCTGCAAAAGGAAAGAAGTCCCGTCCCCCCCCCGACACCAACACCTCCAGACTCGCCAGGCTAACGCCCACGGCACCCACCCACACCCTGCCGCTTGCTCTGCCCTCAGGCCTCCCGCTGTGACGTGTGCTGCTGCGTCCGCCTGAAGACCGGGGCTCCGGCGAAGCGGCATGCAGGTTTCCTTGGCACCTTCATGCGCCGATACTATGCCCCCTTCTTGCTCAGCCATGTGGTCCGGATCCTGGTGGTGAGCATCCCTGAGGAGCCAAGGGCGAGGGAGGGCTGTGGAAGGTCAGCCACGGGGGGCCACTGGGTCAAGGGAGGGAGAATGAACGGCCTCCTGCATGGCTCTTGGCCCCACCCATCCTCCCTCCTTATCCAGGTCCTGCTCTTCACCTTCATGTTCTGTGCCAGCATCTTCCTGATGGTCCATGTCCAGGTGGGGCTGGAGCAGGAACTGTCCGTGCCTCAGGTGAGAGGCTGG